TATTTATTATTTATATTACAACCGTTTTTAAACGCTTCTATTTAACTTGTCAGTTTTTTGTATGTGTCAACAAATAATCTTTAATAAATAGTTTGGAGATATTCCTATGTGTACAATTATTGTAATTATTGAACCTCTTAACTTATTTTCGTCTAGTAATTTCATTACAGAATGCAGACAAATCCCATTTAACTTTACCAAAATTCAAATTCTACTCTCCAATGACGGCATGCGCGAACACGACCGATTTTGTGATACGGGAAGAGCCTATCTTGTTATTCATAGTATCATGGTTCATTCCATCAAGAATTAACAGAAACCTCTACTTTACCTAGTTGTAATGTCGATTCGTAAGTAACCCTTTTTACTTTTTTTTATTTACTTACCGTAAAGTAAGTAAATAGAGGGTTCATGACCTTACATATTATTTGTTTATGGTCAAAATATTACCAATGTTTTACTCTTAAATAATAATAATAACAAATAATATCATTTGTAGAAAATACTTTAAATTTTATCGTTATTTCTACTAATAGCTGTCATTCTCAGTCAGTTGAGATTTCCTCTCCGCAAAAACCATATTTTTCGGTAGAAGGCAGAAGAATAGCGGACATAAACTTTTTCATTAAATATATTCAAGGTTTGAATAATCATTCTCCATTTTCATGCAACTTTTCTAATATGGAGATTATCAAAGAAAAAATGGAGGGATTGATAAGTACATTGACTTTTAAATGTCAAATGTTCAATATTGAAAAGGAGATAGCAACATAGGATTCTGGTAACAATTCAGTGAACTTGAATGGTTCTGGTTATTCAGACATAAAGCAGCAGCACGCTGCATTAAATATACCTGTGATGTCCTACAGGCAGTATGCAAGACATACGGAGACAGTTGCAGATATCATCGGCCAAACACTTTGTGATTCCATAGAAGAGGCTGGACGGGAGGAATTAGCTTTAGCCAACGAAATTGGTGAAGTAGATTCCGACGGAAATGGGTTAATAACCGTTATAGCTGAGGGTGCTTGGTCACAAAGATCGTATAAAGTAAACTACGATGCTTCTTCAGGTGTAGTACCTGACGTTGTAAAATTTATTAAATTAGTACGCCTTTAATGGATAGGACATGTAATTAGGCGAGATGAAGATGAAACGATCAGAAAAATTTTCGACCGAAGAGGACCAGTGGGAAGACGATCCAGAGGAAGACCAAAACTTAGGTATCAAGATATCATAGAGGATGATCTAAAATCCATCGGAGTTAGAGCTTGGGGAAGAGGTGCCAAAGACAGGGGCGAAAGGAAGATTGTTCTGAAGAAGGCTTTGGCTCATGACGAGCTGTAATGCCACTGATGATGATGAAATAACTATCCACGATTTGTGTTTTATTCATAAATTGGATACTTTTCTTATGTAACTGCAATCTATAAATATATTAAAATAATGTATATTCCATTCAGAGAACTTTTTCCTCACAGTGCGTCGCCTCGAAATACTTGTCAGATAAATACATTTACTATTATGATGGTTTCGCAGGTACCAATTTTTTATAGATAAATAAAAATATTTTTTGTTTAATTTTTACTACGCTAATATCAGTTTTCTCTAACAAATAAATAACTTCTTGAAATAATTTTCAAGCTATAACTGCGAAATTGTTTATTTGTTTGTGACATTAAATTGTAATTTTTTTGATAATAATATTTTTATGTTATTTTAAATTTATTATAAATAAACACCATAGTGTTTTTTGCAGTCATGTTTCACAAATTTTTATTCAATACCATGTTTTAGCTAAGACATATAAATTAAAAATGTGATTAATTCTTTTTAAAACATTATCTACGATAATCAATCTAGAAAAAGTATTCCGACAAAACTAATTTGAATGGAGAATAATGCATTTATTGTCAATAAACAACCCGTGGGCCGGCGCCACTGAGTAAACATCATTTCAAATTAGGAAGTCACGTAGGTCCTGACGTAAGCAGTGTAGAAAAGTAAGTGATACGCCTACTTCAAATCGCAGTGTGCTCTAACTGCGAAAACAGCCTTAAATAAGTACAAATCTAGAAATAATATAATTAAATCTCTCTTGGGGTGTAGGGTTATAGAGGTAGTACCTTTTATTGGAACGACCACATCGAGCGTCATAGACGGAAGATGGTTCTAGATATCTGGTCCTCATAAGACACCTAACTCTCACTTATGGCTCCACGTGCCACCCCGGGCAACTGCATTGGTCTGCAGGCTAAACTAAGTGAGGGTAGCCAGATATGACGAAAATTTCACCGAGTGATTCCCTGATGAAGGGCAGTAGCGATCATCAGTACCAGCTCAAGGCGCAGAGGAAATGATCCTGGACTACCACAAGCATGACTGGAGCAGTTTGAATGGTTGTGGTACTGCGATGGGGAAGGCAACGGAAAACCACCCCATAAGAATTTACTAGAATAGTTATCATGGCAATACACTGCGATAACAAAAACATTACTGATCATGGTGATCTGATCCCAAGACCCGGCAAGGGAGGATGCACACAACCAAATAGTAGGACCAGCCAGCGAAATCCCTACGGCCTAAAAAAGGAAACAAGTCCTCAACACCTAAGGATTGGAACTTGGAATGTACGAAATATGTACGAGAGCAGCAAAACTCATAATATTGTAAAAGAGATGAAAATATTAAAAATTGATATACAGTAAAACCTCCCTTAACCGAAACACTTTTAAATATTTTTATATATTTTAAAATAGTGACAATTGTCAGATTTTTGCAACCGAATGTCACGAGCTTAATTCAGCCGTTAGACCAGGGAGTAATAGAGACATTCAAGGGACATTATAAAGGAGCATTCTTAAGACATCTGTTATTACTAAAGAGGAATGAATCCAAAAGTGTTCCCGAAATTCTTAAATCTTTAACAATGAAACATGTTGTTTATTGGCGTGCTGAGTCGTGGGCAAATCTTCAAATCTAGAAAAATACTGTAAAAAACTTTTTGATGGGATTTTGATTGACGATCTTTAAGAAGAAAATGATAAAGAAACGACAGAAGAAATTAAACATAATAAAAAATTTGCCGGGATCTGACGAAATGAACAAAGAAGAGATACGTGAGCAGCCGATGACTCAAAAAGTGAACTCATCGATCAGGACATCATTGATATGGTTCTTCATCCAGACGACCTCAGCGTATCAGACGACAAAGATGATGACACAACAGGCGGCACGAGACCGCCGACGAGATTTTCAATGCCTAGAGGTAAGACATTTATATAGTAGGCCTAATTAGTTAGGGACACGACTAGGTTCTTAATTTTTGTTGTTATTGCATGAAGTTTTGTCATTTACAGATTGTTTTACTTTTCGTCGAACAACCGAATAAGGCAAACTCATGACATTCTGCAAATAAACGATGGAGAGATATAGCTACAAAACATCGTTGTCAAATGAAAACGCAAAAGAAAATAGAAGATTTCTTTAAAAAAGCATGTTAAACTTGTTCATTTTCCTTAATTTTATTACTTTATTTTGTATTTACTTATTAGAAAACATTACGAAATCACCTCATAGTATTTTTTAATACCAATACTTTGACCAATAAATCTATAAAAAACAATGTTATTTTTAACCGAAACGGCCTACCCCCAATTATTTCGGTTAACGGAGCTTTTACTGTATTGGGAATTAGTGAAACACACTGGCAAAACTCTGGACAACGCGATATACTTAGATATAAAGTTTATTATGCTGGAAACAGCACAACACATCACAGAAACGGCACCGCAACAATAGTTGACCCAAATATTAATTTGGCAGTAAAATCTTTCGCTCCCCATTCAGAAAGAATAATGCTTTTACAAATTCGAGCAACACAGGTATATGCGCCAACGGAAGATAAAGATGAGGCAACCAGCGAAGAATTCTACGAACAACTGGGAAACCTGATGAAAATGACAAAAAAACATAAAGTGACAATAGTGATGGGAGATTTGAATGCAAAGGTTGGCAAGGTGAATGAGATCGTGGGAAACTTCAGCCTAGGGGAGAGAAACGATAGATGTGATAGACTTATATGCTTCTGCCAGGAATATAACCTGCTGTTAAGTAATACATTCTTCAAGCTTCCCAAACGTTGACTTTACACATGGAAATCCCCCGCTGACTCGCCTGACAACATCATAAGGAATCAGATAGATTATATAGCAGTACCAACAAGATATAAAAACATGATAAAATCATCAAAAACGTACCCTGGCGCCGATGTTCCTACGGACCACAATCTTTTAGTATGCAGAATGGTCATGAGAGTAAAACGGCTCGAGAAAAGATCTAATTTAAACACAATTGATATTAAGAAACTCACTAACCCAGAAACCGAAATAAAAGTACGAGAACAACTAGGAAAGAAAATAAACGACATTAACGAGAACAAGTCGAACATAATAGAGAGAAGGGATAAATCGAGGGAAGCAATCCAATCAACATGCGCAACTCTATTAAAGCGTGGCAGACAGAAGAAGAAAGAATGGATGTCTGATGAGATAATGGATATGCACATGAACTTCTGCAGTTGCATAAAACATAATTTGGCGAAAGGACCCTGTGGGTGAATTGTGTTAACGAGTATACAAAAAAAATGGACTACTGAAGCGGTTAAGATTATTGAGGGCCTGTGGGAGGGAGTAAACTTAAATATAATTGATCCAAATAATATGCCCAAGTGCCCTATGGTCCTCACTCGCGTCCCCGAGAAAGAGCTTGATGAAGAAACCATCAGGATCCGTTTAAAGAGGCAAAATCAAGACCTTAACACAGAAGACTAGTTCTCAGATCAGCATACCTCCCATATGATGATCCCGAACAACCATCAAGGAAAAATCCGTCAAAGATTTTCGCTGTACTGTTATTAATGGATTATTGGTAGACCAAATTATTTCCAAAAAGATTCTACCTAACGAAATGCCTAACCTAATTGAATTATTTTTACTTACCTCATCGGCTGGATCATAATACTGTTCAAGATAAGGATGTGCTAACGCTTCTTCAACTCCTATTCTTTTGTGAGGATTAAAAGTTAACATTTTATCCAAGAGATCTAGCGCTTTGGGATCAGCGTTTGGATATAATTTAGACCACGGAACTTTTGGTTTATATGGCAAAGACTGTAAGTAACTTCTTGCCTACAATAATAAAATATGATATATGGTCCATTACAGTATTTTGATAATTATTCCCATAAACAATTATCTAACGATGATAAATTAGAAGATCTTATTGCAAAACTTATTGAGATACTAGATTTTCATACACTCTGTAATTTACTCTGGAATATATATTTTTCTTATCATCTTATCAAATATTCACTTACTTTTTCATTAATAATACAGTCCAAGTCTTCTTGTGAGGGAGACCCTAGGACTCCAAGAATGTGATTTAATTGATCTAAATAATGTTTTCCAGGAAATATTGGTCTATTTGCTAACATTTCCGCTAAAATACATCCCACCGACCATATATCAATTGATTTTGTATATCCCTAAAAATCGTAAATCATTTACTATTTAATGGAAAAGAGATCACGATAACTACTAGCGGTCAAATATAGCGTGGGACTTGGCGATTTTGCTATCTGCTCAGAAAACTAAGTGAGAATGAATTCGAAAAACAAGAGATGTGCTATCTCTTCTCGCCTCGTTGGTGCATTCTGTGCAACAAGTTTACAAGTGTGAGCTTAATTCTTAAATAGAAACAAATTTCAAATGACATATTTTTTGTGTGTTCTAGAAATAAATATATTGGTCCTTCGAGCCGCATTGCAGTATGTTGATATAATTTCATTTTAAAATCTCAAAATGTAAAGTTAAGCTAATTTGAAATTACATTAATAAGATCAATTATTGTAATTGAACAAGTCTACAGATGGACAAGAAGTCAGCGGAATTAAATTTAACTGGCACTAATGGACAAAACCTGCCAAAATTACTTACAAGCAAGAAACCAAAGGAAAATCCATGCAGACGGAGGAAACATCATATAGGTAATAATCTGAACATCACAAAAAGAGGCAGCAGAAACCAATTGTGGGCATACCAGATCCTAAAATTGAAACCTACATCTGTTGTAGCTAGTAAAAATGCTTAAACCATAAGAAAGTTGTTGGTGTTTATTTATGGCACAGGATTTCTTGGTGAAATGTAATGAAAGGACAAAAGCAAGTTTGGTACAACGATCTGACGATTAAGTACTGTCACACCAATCCTTAAGAAGATTCTATCACGTAACATTTGTGAATTGAATTCATCATCAAGAAAAATAAATCTTTGTCCGGCAACAATCTTTGTTCCAAAACAAAGTTATAAAATCAACTGCGATAGTCTTATATACTATATAGTCTTATAATACTCATGGATTTCTGTCATTTCTTGAATTAGAATAAGTAGTATGGATATTGGTGTAATAGAAAATGACAATATTTGCAATTTGCATCAGGTTTGCTTTCTCGTAGTAATGAACAAAATTTTAACTTTTAAAATTATGGAATAAATTAACTTACTTTGGAATTAAGCATAATTTCTGGTGCTCTATACCATCTTGTAGCTACATACTCTGTTAAAAATCCCGTGTGATCATGTTCTGGATCTGCTACTCTGGCTAGCCCAAAATCACATATCTATAAACATATAAATAGATTTTTGTTATCATAAAAGCAATATATATTCTACAAATAAATAAACTCATAAGGAAAAACACAATCCCACAATTTTTCTGTACAATATAACTTGACAAAATTTAATTTTGTCTCTGATCTTCTTTTAGCATTTGAATTAAACGTATTATTTTTATTTGTTTTAGTGTTCAAGATGTAATTTAATGAAACACGAAGCAGAAGTTTGTGTCGATGTGATACGGTGGGCTAAGAACAATTAAAGTAAAATTGGACACAGCATATCCTAAGAGTACATCATATAGAATGGACTAGAAGTGCTTCTTTCTGTTTGACATTTTGGTTTGAAATAACATTAAAATTAAATGGCCAACTATATGCCCTAGGAGACAAATTCGTTAAACTTCCCGTGCTCGAATTGGTATCACTAAAGTTTTATGATCATTTCGGCCTATCCCAGCCATCGTCAGACACTTGGGCTGATACAAATTCAAACTCGGAAAGTAAAACGAATGTCTCCCAAATCTTCACTACCGTGTAGTTAGCTTATAAAGGCGCCCTCTACTTTGAAGGCCGTGAACGAAACGATATGAATAATCGTTTTCTGTATCCTTTATGCTATGCGAAATGTGTAAAGAAGTAAATCTTTTAGCGAAAGCCGCTATCGCTTTATGTATTAAATGGCCAACTATATGCCCTAGGAGACAAATTCGTTAAACTTCCCGTGCTCGAATTGGTATCACTAAAGTGTTATGATCATTTCGGCCTATCCCAGCCATCGTCAGACACTTGGGCTGATACAAATTCAAACTCGGAAAGTAAAACGAATGTCTCCCAAATCTTCACTACCGTGTAGTTAGCTTATAAAGGCGCCCTCTACTTTGAAGGCCGTGAACGAAACGATATGAATAATCGTTTTCTGTATACTTTATGCTATGCGAAATGTGTAAAGAAGTAAATCTTTTAGCGAAAGCCGCTATCGCTTTATGTATTAAATGGCCAACTATATGCCCTAGGAGACAAATTCGTTAAACTTCCCGTGCTCGAATTGGTATCACTAAAGTGTTATGATCATTTCGGCCTATCCCAGCCATCGTCAGACACTTGGGCTGATACAAATTCAAACTCGGAAAGTAAAACGAATGTCTCCCAAATCTTCACTACCGTGTAGTTAGCTTATAAAGGCGCCCTCTACTTTGAAGGCGTGAACGAAGCGCCCTCTACTTTGTCTCCTAGGGCATATAGTTGGCCATTTAATACATAAAGCGATAGCGGCTTTCGCTAAAAGATTTAATTCTTTACACATTTCGCATAGCATAAAGGATACAGAAAACGATTATTCATATCGTTTCGTTCACGGCCTTCAAAGTAGAGGGCGCCTTTATAAGCTAACTACACGGTAGTGAAGATTTGGGAGACATTCGTTTTACTTTCCGAGTTTGAATTTGTATCAGCCCAAGTGTCTGACGATGGCTGGGATAGGCCGAAATGATCATAACACTTTAGTGATACCAATTCGAGCACGGGAAGTTTAACGAATTTGTCTCCTAGGGCATATAGTTGGCCATTTAATACATAAAGCGATAGCGGCTTTCGCTAAAAGATTTAATTCTTTAACATTAAAATTATTCATTTTACATCTAATACTGCTCAGCTGAGATCACATAGAGAATACATAGCTGAATTGTCATTATGAGCAAGATAGGTAAGATTAAACTCTCAGAAAATTTTATCTTAAACATCATATTTACTTATTTATTTATTTTTATTTTGAGAATAACTTAAAGAAACAAATATTATGAAGGAAGAATTTTGACGTCAAGATAAAAGGAGTCCGAAAACTTGGACATAAAACTTGCTAGTAAAAACAGAACATCACGAAATAAAAGACAAAATATTGCTGAACAACGACCTAACTGACGAGGGAATCAGCTAAAAAGTGAGAAGAACAAAAAAAAAAACAAAGGAAATTAGACAAAAATAAGCTAAAAGATAATTGTAGGTAGAAAACTATGAATGAAGGATAAAAATATATTGGAGGAAATAAAACTAACAGTTCCAAAAAAGTACCAAACATATAACATAAATTAATCAAAAGGAAAGTGATTCGGAAACGAAAGTAGATACGAAAATGGCAAATAAATGATCTAACTACAGTACATCAAATGGGGACAGAAACAGGGGACAGTTAAATTCAAATTATAGTAATAAAATTATAATCAAATCTAAATATATAAATATCTTTACAATTTTAACATGTAAAGAACTAATAACATATAGAAATATTCGTAATCTTGTAAAATTGTTGAATACTATAGTTGAAGAAAGAAAAATAGCAGAAACAGTAACATTAAATAATTAAATATTTATTATTAATATTTATTAAATAAAACGGGAATATAGACGGGAAAAAACAATATAATAGCTTTATAATAACCTTTTTTCTTGAGTTTATTTCGTAGCCCTCCCTAAACAAGGTGGCCTAGTTGCCTGAGGGTTTTTGAAACGGACCCTCATGGAATATAATTGATGACCCCTGTCCTACAGGATATAGATCAGTAGATAAAAATCGTAAATTTTGTAAAAAAATGAAAATAGCAAAAGAGAAAAGCTGGTAAGGATTTGAAAAAAAAAATAAAACGAAAATTAAATTATGGCCAATTATGAATAAAAAACGAAAAGAGATCATATCTTTAGGATGTGAGAAAATGGAAGGCTTTTCAAGGTTAAAAGAGTGAGTCAATGTAATCAGAATCATTCAATACTTACTTTGAGATCACAGGTAGTATTTAGAAGTAGATTACTTGGTTTTAAATCTCTATGAAGTACATTTGCCGAATGTATATATTTCAGCCCTCTGAGAATTTGATAAAGGAAGTAACATATGTGATCGTTACTCAGTCTCTAAAAAGTAAAAAAGAATTTATATTATTGAAGTAATTAAAAACTTTTATAAAAATTATTACAAAATACAGAATTTTAAATAAATATAAATATGGTTGCCTTATATCTAATATACATAGTGTGGGTAAATAAGTGCTACAATTTTCAGATAGAAAACCGGGTCAGGCAGTCTCATTCGCTTCACTGTCGATTGGTTAATCCTTTTCATCCTAGTGGTATCGCTGTGAAACTACTGATACACAAATTTTTACTGAACGTCCCAACGGTTCCACAGTAAATCTACGTGTATATTATATTGCCTATAACCATGCCCATTATACAAAAAATTTAAGAAGGGTTTTGTTAGTGATGGGGTAATCGACTAGTGGTTTAAGTGATTAGTACTCAGACTATCGACTAGTCGATTGTTTTGACTAGTCGATTGTACATGGTTAAACGACAAACGACTAGTTGTTCTAGAATAGAAGGTAAACCAATAAATTCATTCATAAGTCAAGAGAAAGCATTCCCGAAACAAAGAGTCGGCTATGGTCGGTTTAAGTAGGCTAGTGTTAGCGACTACTTTGGACTGAAGCATTTTATTCATATCCTGAGTATTTTTACATCGTTGCGTTGTCCCACAGCCACCTTTACTTCCAAGCCATGAAGTAGAAATTTGGCAACAACGCGTGGTAGTCCGACTGCGGTTTGTTTTGGTTTAGCATTTCATATAGGAAGGCTTGTAAAATTTGTTGAATTTATGTTTTTTTTAACTTTATTCGAATGTTTTATTTGTAAATTGTGTTTAAATCAATTAGAAAATATTAATATAAGTGAAATTTCATTAAATTTAGAACTTTTAGAAGATTCTTAACAACAATTTAAAAGGCAAGTATAAATATAACCTACAAAACAAACTGAAAATAATAATACTTTTGCTTCTTGTTACAAAATATGTAAACTAAAAACAATAATAATAATACTTTTGTTTTTTGTTACAGATGCTCTGGCATTGTTGTGTACCTGGTTGCAAAACCAATTATGCCAGTACTTTAAAAATGAAACAGGCAGAAAGTATCTTTTTGTTTCCCAAAGATCCCCAAAGAAGGTATACTGGGTTATGCTCTATTCATAGAGAAGGCTGTACAATTGCCAAATCTTCCGTAGTATGTGCCAAACATTTTCATGAAGATGATATTCAGCGGACTGAACAATGAGAAGATAAAGATGGAAATGTACACATTGAAAAGTTAATATTTCCCAAATTAAAAGGCAATGCAGTTCCTAATATATTTCCTGAAGTACCATCATATGTAACTGTTCATCGTACTAAAGAAAAAAGGAATCCCGAAGACAGAAGAAACTTTTTGCATAAGAAGAGGGAACAAGAGATAACATAATTATGTCAATTAGACTTAGACAATAATATCCCATTGAAAAACTGGACAAGTAAAATTACAAGTGACTGTGTATATTTCTATGTATTAAACATTAATCAGTTGGGACACAAGTGTGATAATATTTGTGTAATGTGTAGTGTAATAGTTAGCAGTAATTTTAGTGTAATTGTCAATGTAGGTAAGAATAGATTAAGTGGTAATGATTTGAAATGGATTTTACAATATAGTAAATTAACAAGATGGTCACAATTAGAGAACTTACTTTCTCATTTAGATCTGCTTTTTAGATAAGTGATAACAAATTTGAGTATTACATTCAAAAATCTTTTGAGAATATAGGCTATTTTAAATCGATATACAAGTTATAAATGGTATGTTACATTCAACACATTTTTCATGTATACCTCTTTTAACTTGGTCTATATGACAACAAACCCATTCATATTTAAAATTTGTTTTTAATTTAACTGTTTGACACTGTATTTTAAGTGCAATAAATTTTACTCTAGTGATTATTTTATTGATAATATAACCTAAATAATAATAAAACTATATATATTTACTAGGTATATATAAGGTTTTATTAATTTAATTTCCCTAAAAATATTTCTGTAATGAATTGAAGTTTTCAAAATATCAGTTTCCTAAAATTCAAATTAGTTTAATATTCTGGTAGACCTTACAGCTGATTATCGGACTACCGACGTCATAGAATGCGGTGTTGCCTTTTTTACTTCATGGCTTGGAAGTAAAGGTGGCTGTGGTTGTCCCCATTAAGCAAAACACAAACTGAGACTGACAGTGACAGGTGACAGCTGACCACGCCTACCCCGACTAGTCGACTAGACTAATCGATATTTAAAAGTAGTCGACTAGTCGCTAGTATAAAGTAATCGATAGTGCCATCACTAGGTCTTGTCTTGCGGTTTTTTCCGTTATACCGCGTCGATCAACAAAGAGTCACAGATAAGTTGATGCATAAATTAGGTTTTATTTGCGTGATTGGCAAACAATAAATATTTATAAATAATGGCTGGTAAGTTATTTATATTATAGATATTATTATACACAGTAGTGTACTTTGTATGAGTAGAGATAATTTGGTTTTAAAAATTTCTGTCCGGAGGGATTTATACAGGTAGTTTCGGTTGAAACTACTGGGACTCACAGTGTATTTTATTTTAGGTACGAAGAGATATTCTTCTTCTTGATGTGGCTATCCGTTATGAATGTTGGCGATCATCATGGCCATCTTTATCTTATCTGCAGCAGCGTAGAAAAGCAGCACAGATGTTGTATTGAACCAGATTCTGAGGTTCTTTAACAAAGATATTCTTCCTGGACCTCGCTTTCCAAATATTTTTCTTTTCAGAATGGCTTGGAAGGAAAGCATATCTGGATTCATTTCGCATATGTCCGAAGAACTGTAACTTTCGAGATTTGATGGTGTTCAGTACCACAGTGCAGTGCGTGTGTACGGAACGCTGACGGGATGGAGGCGATGCACATCGTTACAAGGCACAAGGTCAATTTTTTGCTGCTCTTCCTAAAGCATACAAATTGTGATGTCTTTAGCACAAGGTCCTATCAAATTTTCTGCCGCACTAGGAGCTTTGTGGGCCAAAAAATACTCTAATTGGACTGTAACAACTGGAGAAAAGTCCTATTTACAGATGAAACTCACTTTATAGTTCAGGGACAGCAGTGGAAATTCGTCAGGAAGTCTGACAATGAAAACCTTACACCATCTCATATTGATCAAACCGTAAAACATCTAGTCAAAAAAATGTTTTGGAGATGTTTTTCATACATGGGGGTTGGATATTTGTTACCACTCGAAGGAGAGATGAACAGCCGAAAATATAATTCCATGTTAGAACAGCGTTTGGACACAGGACTTAAAAAAGTCAGCCCAAAGGAGGAGAGATTCTTCAACAGGACTCTGCTCCCTATCACAAGTTAAAGCAAATGATGGAATTTTTCAAAAATAAAAAGATTAATGTTTTAGGTTGGCCTGGTAATTCACCAGACATCAACCCTATTGAAAATTTATGGGATATTTGCAAAGCTAGACTGCGCAAAATCGACTGTAGTACAAAGATTGATAGAAGCGGAAAAATATATCTGGGGAACTTTCAGGAGCTGGTAGAATCTATGCCAAAACGGGTAAAAGCAGTAATTGCAGCCAAAAGGGGGACATATTTCCTACTAAATGATGTAAGTTTACCTTTATAGTTTTGTCAAAATATAATTTTGTTCTAAATAAACTGTTTCTTTTTTTTTCATTAAAACAGCATATGATTCCATTAATTCGCACAGTACTATAGGTCAAGTGGAACTCTTGGTCTGTACATTTTTGGTAAACTATACAGTTCTGGTAGTGGATCATTTATTATATAATAGTCTTCGATGATCTTTTTCAGCGGATATAATATTTGTTTTTGGAGAATTGCAGAATGTAAAATGTATTCTTAATTTATGTTACTCGTAATCTTTGCTTTAGATCTGCTCTTCGAACACTAAACACTAGCTTTGTTGAGGATTTGCCTCTGTTTTTCTTGTATTAGTATGATGAGAAAGTGGTGGACAGATTCGAACGTAGTTATGAGGTTCGAATCGTTTTATAATGCCCCTTTGTCCGGTTCTTGTCGATCGACGATGATAAGTATAATAAAAAGTTGAAGTTGTAGAGTAAAAATGTTGCTTTTATTGGCAGCTACTACTAATTACACTATATGATGTTAGGTAACTACTTATAATGAACTTTACTCACATGAGCTCAAATCCCCAATTTATAATCTCACAAATAATGTATACCTCAGCACAGAGGTTATTGCTTCTATCATACTAACAAACTTTGAACTATAAGCTTACAATACAATTTAATCTAGGCCGTAATTGCAAGACTTAGTAAGTTCAATTGGAAAATACATTATTCAACAATTTATTAACAGGTGAATGTACTTTAATTATTAAAATATTACTCGATATAGTTTTACAATGTTTCAGTTATACACAGTGAAACTATAAAAGGTTAAGAAGTTAAGAATAATGTGAGAATACAAATTAAGGGATTAATTAGTGATTGAGCAGTGGTCTAAGCATAGTTATGATATTATTACCTGAAAATTTTTCAATGAATGTAAGCTCATATGTTAATTTGCTCTTTTTTAGTAGTTTTTTAAGATACTGGTTTTTTAAGATAATAAATTTAATATTCACATAGAATAGGAATAGAAAAACAAGAATTTATTAACATATATTTACCTGTGTTTTAAGGAGTTTATATAAATCAGTCTCCATCAAACATTGTACAATGTATACATCCCTCATTTGATCTATTGTTGCTGCACGAAGTATATCTCTAATATCAATTATCTGAAAAAGATTATAATTTAAATAAAACATCAAAAATAGGGTGTAGTTTTTTTTGTGACGTATGCACGAACCTCTGCTTCATCGGGAACAAGGACTTTTGTTTGGGAAAGTATGTACCTACGAATTCTTTTCATATTTGTACAGTTAATATTTTTTCTGTTACGGTACTGTAATGTGATCTAATTTAGTGCTGTGTATTCTAAAGACCCTTTTAAAATATATTATTTCCTGTTCTTTCGTAAAACTTAAACTGGCTATCTTATTTGTCATGATGAAGTACGCAGAATTCGGCTTTTTCCTTTGTATTCAAGATAAAGATTCAAATACAAAGATTGAAACAAGTGATTGATTTATGGCATGCCCGGCCTACGAGATGTTGACCATCCAACGGTTAGAGGGGTTTTTTTTGCCCTAGTAACGATCTCAACACACTTCAGACCAAGACAGTGAAAGAAAAACAACGAGTTCTCGTATATCCGAGGCGGACGTCCCGACGTGGGCCAGCGACATTCCCCTGGCTAAGTATTTTACGACATTAATATCTTGGACTTAAGCAAGAGATTACCGCTGGGATACAGACTGCCAAACTGCCTTTGAGACCTTGAAAAAGCATTTAATCACAGCACCACTTTTAGGGTATCCACCGCCAGAAGGAGAGTTCATCTTAGATACAGATCCAAGTAATGTGGGAATTGGAGGAGTGCTATCTCACATTCAAGCAGGACAGGAACGAGTCCTTGGATATTTTAGTAAAGTTATTTCAAAATCTGAGCGGAATTATTGCGTCACGAGAAGAGAACCTCTAGCAGTAGTGAAATCAGTAGAGCACTTCTATCAATACCTCTATGGAGGGAAGTTTTTAATCCAAACATAATTAACCACTTAAGGGCGTGCCGCCCTTAAGTGGTTAACTAAGTGGGTCGAAATTTACGCACTTCCAGACCAGAAGGCCGCCACTATTGCAGATAAGTCGATCCAAGAATATATCAGCCGATTTGGAGTGCCTTTGGAGATCCATAGTGACCAAGGCAGGAACTTCGAAAGCGATCTATACCAAGGAATATGTGATAAACTAGACATGAAGAAAACAAGTACTACAACATATTATCCGCAATCGGATGGTATGTTAGAACGGATGAATAGGACAGTTGGCAAGTATTTGACAGAGATGGTGTCCGGTCATCAGCGAGACTGGGACCAATATCTTCCGTTCTCCACAATGGCCTACAGATCTGCTGTTAACGAATCCACAGGCCAGACACCAGCCAGAGTCCTATTCGGACGCGAGATGCGACTACATTGTGATCTAGAATCTAGAGTTTGGGTGTCGACCTGGAGAAGATGTAGCACGTGAAGATTATGTGATCGAATTACGAAGAAGAATGGACGATGTAAACGAGTTGGTTCGTTCCCATCTTCAGATCGCTAGCGACTGAATGAAGAAAAGGTACGATATGCAAGCCGAAAAGGGGTGCTTTAAGAAGAACGACAAAGTCTGGCTCTCAAGAAGCGAATCCAAGAAGCGGAAAAGGTTGTTCTCCCACGTTTCAGCAGTTTTGAGAAGGTCCATACCTCATTATGGAGAAGATCAACGATGCCATCTACCGAATAAGCAAGATTCCGAGGGGAAAGCCGATGATAGTACATCATAACCGGCTAGCGTCTTTCGAAAGTGACCACGACGTAGATGAAGAAGTGGAAGTAAACCAAGTCCAAGATGTGTCTGACCTCACGTTTGAGGAATTCATGGGGGCCTATGAAGGTACCGGTAAAGCAAGACATTGTGTTACCACTAAAGAAAAGCAAGATCACTGCTCACTGGCCCTTACCATCCTGGCCAGTATCAAAGACGCACCAGGGTTGGCATCCGTCTTTCGAAGGAAGTTCGGTCGAGGTGCAGAACTTCAATGCCAAGTGCCAGCTCCCGGGGAAGCCTTGAAACTCCAAGATGCATCACGTTACATTTTCTACCTGATAACAAAAGACACTGTCCGTGACCAATCTACCGAGATGTATGGGAAGCCTTATTTAAATTGAGAGAGCACGTACTAGAATCCGACGTGCAAAAGTCAGCCATGCCAAAGTTGGAGTGCCGCCACTTAGATTGGAGGGTTATCCGAAGTATGGTGGAGGAGATATTAATTCGTATAATAGTATTATTCTTAACTTTAGGTATATGGATATATATATATATATATATATATATATATATATATATATATATATAATATATATATATATATATATATATATATATATATTGTTGTACTTTTGAATGTCCATAAGCAATAAAAAACCGATATACAAATTTTATTACTTAAATAAAAATTAAAATTATTGATATTTCATAAAGACACGGGCATATAAATTTTCAAACATCCTGTATAAGACAAAATATGTATTGTAAGTTGTTCGAAGAATTGTTCATTAGGCCTCAGAGACAAGACTTTCAAATATTATCGATAAGAAATTTAAATAAGTCGGTTATTGTGGAATGGATTTACCCGGAATAAAAGTGTATATAGAAAGTGTTTAAACAATAGACCGGGATTTGCGGTGGTTTTTCTCCCCGAAAGATTATATCGGTAAAAGTTTATTAACAAAAGACATTGAATTGAGAAACAGGTATCGTTTGTAGCTATTAGTAAGAAATATTTGTAAAGCAGATAGATTTAGTTAGAATAATTAAAGAATGTTGTTTTCTGGAATTACCCGAATGACGTTTTATAGAGAGAGTTGGTTGGTAACGATATACGTCACAGAGGTGGATGATTTTTATTGGTCAATTTTTGAATGCAAGGAGGTGATGGTTTTGGCTATGAGATAGGAGAGAGGAAAAAAGTTGGTTAGTCAGTTTTCGTCGTCCAAGAAGGAAGGAGCTTTGTGATTTGTGTTTGTTTGAAGTCCCGAAGACGTAATTTACCGGGTGTGTTTATTTATGTGTAAAAGCTGACCAGTTTGAGGAACGGGGTACAGAGAGATAGAAAAACCAAAGGGTATAAGAATATTAATATCAGACGAAGCAGGAAACATTTGGAGTTATAAACATGCGCGGAGATTGGCTCAAAAGGAGGCTGCATAGAATAACACGAGTTGTTGGGTTGCAGATACAAGGACAGATAGGAGAAAGGTGTACGTCATCTGGACCACAATAGGAGCAGAAGCAGAGAAAGGTTTTTTTTGGCGTGGCCATAGAATTGCAACGGCAGAGAAAGAAAGGTCAGTCAATTTTCATTAGAGCACGAGTGTGGTTTTCATTTATTAATTAAATAAATTGAATAAATAATAGAGACAATTAATTTTGCGATCATTAAAAAAAATTTATAAAAAGAGCTTAGTTATAACACATATTAAAAATCAATGTAAAATAACATTTGGGTCCATGATAGAAAACAACTTCTCATATATTTAAAGTTAGTATATTGCAAATATTACAGGATTAATTGTTATATAAAATTTCATTAAAATAAAGGACATCTCACATATAGTTCAGTTGAAATTCTATGTATTTTATTCAGGTCATATTACCTATCCCAATTAGGAAGCCAATTGGAAAATATTTTGAATCCACGATCAAAGGTAAATATTACAAGTTAAATAGCCTGAGATTGTAATTAATTAATGCTGATTTATTGTGATTAATTGGAGATTAGATCATTTAATAAATATAGACAGGATTTTTCTAAATAAGCAATATAATACAATTTAAATAGCATAACAATATATATATATATATATATATATATATATATATATATATATATATATATATATATATATATATATATTCCATTTTTTTGTTCGGAATAAATTTGTGATAAGATTGTAACCGTAATTATCACATTATTTTTGTCCTGTACATAATCTGTTCTAGTTTATTTTTAATTAACATAATAAGAAAACACTCCACAATTGATAGCGAAACCGCAAAATATTATATTATATACACGAACAATATGTGACTTACATTTCATTGAACGAAATAATTTTGAATATTGATAAGTAGTTGAATTTCCAATTGTTTATTGATAAAATATATGGTTTTAACAAAGAGAAACGAATGTGTATCCCGAGAGAACTAAAATATTTTCGATGGAAAATATGGATATTATTATGAACATTAAAGAAATCAACAACTCTCACTTTTTGTCAGTCACTTTTAAAAGAATTTAGCTTTAAAAAGTGAAATTCTGTCTCCGGCTTCTATATAACATGTACCTTCTCCTTTTTTAAAATTTTAGTGTTTGTGTTTGTCTTTGTGTATTGTATTGTTATGTCCAAATTTACATTTATGACATTCTACTCATGTCGGATAGGCCACAACTGACGAAATGCCCCTGAAGATGATCTATTGATCGAAAGTACTTGGGCAAGATTTAATTAATCACTGTGTTCGATAGTTGCCTTGTATACTATCAAAGTTTAATTATTCGAACATTCAACCTTATATTGAAATATAAAATTGATGAGCAACATTGAAAATGAGGTTGAATAATTGTGTTATATACTGTTATTTTTGTTTCCATTGATACATTTTGAGGAATTCTACTCAGAAAGTAAATTTTTTTTGATATTTTTTTATGAACGTACTCAAAATTCAGAATATTGTCAAGCTGGAATCCCAAATATTTAACTGTTGTGACAATTTCAATTTTTTCATTATTAATATTTAAATTTATGATTTCAGAATCAAGCAAGCTATATTTATGTTTGGTAGTGAAAATCATTGCCTTTGTTTCTTTCACATTCAACTTCAGTTTATTCATTTTGAAATATATATTAAACATATCTAAAATAGTATTCATTTTTTGAATAGCTAATTCAAAATTTTCATCACTACAACAGATTAGAGTATCATCGGCAAAAAGATTAATAAATTCACAAATTACAAAATATCGATATCGTTAATGTACAGAATAAATAAAAGGGGGCCTAATACATTACCTTGAGGAATCCCTGTAGTACTATCCATTTCAGATGACAATTGGTTTTTATATCTAACTTTCTGTTTGCGATCTTGTAAATAATTTTCTAACCACGCAATTACTGTACCTCCTATACCGTATTGTTTAAGTTTAGAAATCATTATTGTTCTGTCAATGGTTTCAAAAGCTCTTTTTAAATCAAGAAATTCACCGACTACGTACTTATTTTTATCTAAATTATTCTTTATGTGACATAATGTAACTTGTAACGCTGATTCACAAGAGAATTGTTTTCGAAAACCTGATTGATTATTAATTAAAATTTTATTTTTAGTTACATGTTCTAATAATAAAATTGTTCATAAACAGCAATTTCTAATATTTTCTCTATAGGAGGTAAAGTATTGATTGGTCGGAATTCTTCAGCTTTGATAGTGTTGGGTATTTTTTGAATAGGAGTAATAGTACTTATTTTTAATACATCAGGAATTCTACCCGTAGTAAGAGATGTATTAATTAAATTTAACATAACGTGCCCAATGGTTTCAAAAAACTTCCTTTACCATTCTGCAATTAACGTTTCATGTAGTGAGAATTTATTATCTAAATTGTCAACAATTTTTCGCAAATCCTGCATAGAAAGCGTTTCAATTTTTTCAAAATTTAAATATAGATTACTATTTACATTCCACCATGTGTCAGGACTATCAATACTTTGAACAATACTTTCAATGCTTTCAACAAAATACTCATTAAAACTGCTAGCTATTTCTACTCCGTTTGTTAACCGTTTTAGACCAGTAGTAGTTTCAAAGATTACAGTGTTTGGCATTTCTCGACTATTATCATTGATTAATTTTTTTAAAGTTTTCCACATTTTTTTTGGATTGTTTCTATACCTGTCTATATTGTTAAAATAGAACCGCTCTTTTTTTAGCTTTAACATATTTACTACCTCATTCTATGTCTCTTAAAAACCTGCCATTTTTGTTGTTTTTCAATGACATCAATACATTTTTAAAATCTTTATAAGCCCGATCACGTTGTTTAATTTGTTTAAACACCTCATAATCAAACCAAGGTAATTTTGATTGAAATGGCAGCATTTTACAATTGGTATTATGTCATTGATTACATTTTCACAATTTTGTAAAATTTCCTGGTAAATGATATTAACACAAACAGAATCTAAATTAAAGTGACACATTTTTGATTCTATCTAAGTTTTGATTACATAAATTTCTAAACTTGGATATAGTTCTATCAGATATATTATAACTATTATTATTGGAGATATTTACTGAAATAACAAAATGATCAGTAATTTTTGGACAACCGTGAACACAAGCATTTATATTATTTTGATTAGAAAGTACATAATCTACCAAAGTGTTACTAGTGTCAGTAATACGGGTAGGATCACTAATATATTGTTTTATCCCATAAGCCGAAAAGAATTTTTTAATTTTTTCACCATATAAATTACTATAGTCCTTTTCCATCATATTGATAGCACATTATGTAAGCAAATCCTCAACAGATCAAAAAACCATAGGCATCACCCTATACTTGTTTTGAAATAAATAGAAAAAAATAATATTTTAAGATGCCGTCAACAATTCATTATCTTTTAAAAAATCTTCTGTAAAATAAGTGTCCACTAATCTCACTATACCTTTTTTGTGCGTAAAAAACGTCGGTATATATGCCACACGATTATTGTTAATTATACACGGGTGATTAACGAGAGAATTCAATGTTTCACGAAATAAATTAATGTAAACAATAATTTAAAGGTGATTATTGTTTTCTATACAAGTTATCGCCTGACACAAACAGAATACCTTCTTTGAACGATTACCTGGAATTACTGATAAGGCTTCACTAATGATAGTTTAAGTAGTTTTTATGCCACATTACAGCTTATGCCAATAATATAAATTAGAAATTGTTTGCATCTTCCATTTAGTTTGTAGATGTACATTGTTCATGTCTTACCTACCTACGTTTTTGGTGTCGATATTTTGTTATTTGCATTTAAAAATGACGTCAACAACAGGTTTTATCCCGGTGAAGTGTAGTTTTAAAGGTGCCTTCAGTCTAAGAGAGAAAAATATAATATTAAATGTACACGATGCACTTGTACATCAACGCCCTTTAAGTAATGTTCGTGAAATCGTTAACCTGTGTTCAAATATGACAGGGATTGGAGAAGCAACAATTTATAGATTCCTAAAAGAAATAAAAGGAGGAACTGTTTCAGGAAGAAGAGTGGAGGGAGTAAACCCTTGGAAATTGAAGAAATACATAAAAACATGATAAGACGCCACGTCCACTCATTTTTTTTTAACAAAGAATTTCCAACATTGGACAAAATCCAAACATTAATTAGAGAAAACGAAGAGTTACCAATCAGAAGCAACAAGAAATTATGGGGACTATTGAGAGAGATGGGATTTCGTTGGCAAAAGAATAGAAGAAAATCCGTTTTAATTGTAAAAAGATTACATTGTATGTTGGAGACGAGATTATCTAAGAACTATTAAAAAGTACCTAGAAGAAAAATTCCAAAAAATTCTGTCATAGTCATGGATAATGCTAGTTACCATTCAAGACTACCAGAAAAATTGCCAACAACGGCATGGAAAAAGGGAGAATTAATCGAATGGTTGGATAAACACGCAATTGAGTACAAGGAGAATTCGACAAAAAAGGAATTATTACCTATTGTAAGGCAACATAAAGCTGCTTATAAAAAATATACAATTGATGAAATGGCATTAAACCGTGATGTAATTATTTTACGTTTACCCCCATACCACTGTGATCTGAATCCGATAGAAAATATATGGTCTCAAGTAAAGGGTGAAGTCGGACGCAACAACAAAACTTTTAAATTAGAAGACTTACAACAATTATTAGAACATTCCTTATCAAAAGTAACTCCAGAAAATTGGAAAAATGCTGTTAGTCATGCTCACAAGGAAGAAAATAAAATGTGGAATTTGGATAATATGACTGATGCAATGCTGGAACCGGTAATAATTAACATTGGAGTTGAAGATTCCTTAGATTCTGAAGAAAGCAGTGAATCTTAAATGGAATTTGATTAAAATAATATTCATTTTTTTTACAAATCGGCCCCTGTTACGGCCACAAATTATTTTATATATAACCAATAAAATAAACATCTTACATTTCTTGCAAATTCATTAGTACCTGTTAATCTCCATCACTCCGACACTGGCAACTTTATTTAGGGATTAGTAACCCTCAAAACTATTGTATTCTATTCTGCTTCAACCTTTATACCTGGTGGTCACATTCAATTTAAAATTGTTTTCCTATATACTTCTGTAAACTTGTTGACAAATATCTATTTTTCATTGAGTCACCCGTATCAACAATTTAGGGATTTGCATACATAATGTGCTATCAATATGATGGAAATGGACTATAGCCAATAAGTCAATATTAAAATCACCAACTAACACACACCGGTAGTTTGTAATAAATGAGGCATCACATATTTCTTCCAAATCTTCAATAAATTGAGCATCAGAACTGGATGGTGAATGGTATAAACATCCCACCAAGTAAACCGTTGATTTAACATCAACTTTTATTATTTTGCACCAATAATTATTATTATGGTACAAAAAATAGGTATTTTATTAATAAGAATTTTTAGCAGCAGCTTAATCGTTTTTTTATACTTTACCCTATCGACCATTTACTGTCCCGGTTAGAGTTTCATAATTATGGTAAGCCTAGTCATAGGGTTCTTTCTCAGAAAATTTTCCATATCGAGAATATTCTCCGATTTTTCATTCTCGAGAATTTTCCAACACTATTCTATACTTATTTTATCACCTCTTACTCTTATGATTAATATTATTGGATTTACATTGTATTGATACAACAATAAACATTTCATATTAATTGGGCATTTTAATCACTATCTGTGGTTTAAGAATTTCGCGGTTAGTTATCTAAAAGTACATTAACCGTGACGTAATATTATTTTGGTTTTGCCACAGGCATACACACAAAATTAGTTTCCAAATCCTAAGGCTATAATACTTACATTTTCGTGTTTAAAACGTGTGAGTATTTTGATTTCCCTGAGTGTCCTTTGGCAATAAGTTTGATGCTCGAACGGAGATATCTTCTTTATTGCCACTTTCGTTTTCGTTACTGCATCCGTGGCGGACCTGAAAGCAAATAAAATCAATATTAATACTAACTTTTCGCTACCGCTAGTGAGTTTATTATTTTTGTTTTCTTCAATATACAATCAAGAGCAATTTCGTTTGTAAAGTTTTGATCATGAAATATTTTTAACCGTACTATACTCCAGCAAAGAAATAATGAAATGAGTTATACGCATGATATCGTAAGTTATCGTATTGTTACGATAAATATGACTCATATTTGAGCTGTAAAAAATTTAATCTAACAAGTGTTTTTTTTCAGGAAGGTCACCGTCCGCTTCGAGGGGACTCCAGAATAGCGGATATTTAATATACAGGGTGAGTCATAACTATTGGGACATAGACTAAGGACAGGTTATTTGGACCAAAATATGGTTATTGGGCCAAATATGCCTTAATAAAATGTCGCTGAGAAAAAAGATACAGGTGTTAAAGTTAATTTTTGTTTTTCGTTTTTTGCTAATAGTTTCCCTGTATATTTATAAATTGGCACAGAGGCATAATCTTAGACAAGAAATAGTATTTTATTTACAATTTTACGTTTTGTCATAGAGGGCGCCACGTGGATCATTCCTAATGATCAAATTGAATCTAAACTTTTTCTGATGAAACTTTTTAGTAATTTTTATTAGAAAATATGACGTAAACATCATTTTTACGTAAAATTGGTACTCTTGTTTAAACATGATAATTTCAACCGTTTTCGATAAAAACGCAGTCGAACTGCTTATGAGTCTTAAAAAAGGATTTCAAATATTATTTCATTTATGAAAAGTATGCTTTGGAATGTCAGATAATTGTTGTTGGTAAATGTCATTTGTTCAGAGTAAATTATTTTTGATGTGACAGTGTAGTGTAATGTTGCATTTTTTAAAAGTAATCATTACTTTTTTTGATTGAAATGCCTCGTCACAATCATTTTACTAATGAAGAAATGCGAGATATGATTTGCGTATACGCACAAAAAAATTTTTGCAATCGCTCGGCAGCCAGAAGGTATGGAATGTTATACGCAAACAGAAGGCAACCAAATCACAAAACTTTTGCAAGATTATATCGTAGTTGAGCTGAAACTGGGTCATTTCACACTAAAAATCGGGGTGGTCGACCGAAACAAATAACACCTAATCAAGAAGATGAACTTTTGGTTCGATTATATAAAAATCCTGAAATAAGTTCACGACATCTATCAGCAGCAACGGGAGTAAGTCAGTCGTCTATTGTTAGAATTCTAAAAAAGAGAACCTCCATCCTTATCACTTCACTCCTGTTCAAAATTTACTTCCAACAGATCTCCACGACGGTTACAGTTTTGCCAACGTATTCTGAATAAACATCGCAATGACAGACACTTTATTAAGAATATTATGTTCACCGACGAAGCAACTTTTACCAGACGAGAGGTTTTTAATTGGCGAAATAGTCATTATTGGGAAGAAGAAAACCCGCATGCTATTAAAGCTAGACATTTTCAGCATCAGTTTAAATTGAATATTTGGTGTGGCATTATAGGCGACCAACTAGTTAGGGCCTTATGTTCTTCCTCCGAATTTAAATGGAGATTCTTATTTATTCTTTTTGGAAAATACTACTTAGTGATATTTTAGATGACCTGTCACTGGATGTAAGAAGAAAAAATGTGGTTTATGCAGGATGGAGCGCCACCTCAATTTTCATTAGCTGTTAGAAATCATCTTAATGACGTATTTCCTCAACGATAGATTGGCAGAGACAGTGATTTTCAATGGCCACCAAGAAGTCCTGAGTACAACCCGCTAGATTTTTATTTTTGGGGACATATGAAGTCCTTAGTTTATGCCAATGAAATTAATACACGAGACGAACTTTGGAGACACATTCAAAATGCAGCTAATCTTACAAGGGGACAGAATAATATTTTTTTTAAAGTCCGAAAATCCTTTATAAAAAAAATTAGGAAAGGCATAGAAATCGGAGGAGACCATGTAGAACATTTAGTTTGAGTTTTTGTGAGTTTCTTTTTAAGTTAAAGTGTGTTTAGTTTTGATTTATGGTCAAAACGGAAACCTTACGTTAGTTGCAACATTGTTTATTAGTTTGGTATTTGATAGTGGAATTGTAAATAAAATACTATTTCTTGTCTAAGATTGTGCCTTTGTGCCAATTTTGATAGCAATTTTATACATATATACAGGCAAACTATTAGCGTAAAACGAAAAACAAAAATTAAATTTAACACCCTGTATCTTTTTTCTCAGCAACATTTTATTAAGACATATTTGGCCCAATAGCCATATTTTGGTCCAAATAACCTGTCCTTAGTCTATGTCCCAATAGTTATGACTCACCCTGTATATAGAGAATTTTATTGTGAACAGTTGTTAGTCTGAAAATATAATTGTATCGAGTTTGAATTACTGAACCAGTAAGTGGGCGTGGCCTTGATTGTGCCTGATATAGTTCGCATGGCTTGGTTGAGTTGGACATCAACACGGTGAGTATGTGGACTGTTTATCCATACTGGTGCACAGTATTCCGCTACGGGGTATACCAGTACTAATGCTGTCGATCTAAGTGTGGGTGGTGAGGAGCCCCATGTAGTGCAGCAGAGCTTTTGCAGGATGTTGTTACGAGTTCGGAGTTTTAATTGAAGCTTTGCATCGGGAAGTGGGTTACGACTAAACACTAAAAATTTGGTTTTGACTAAATACACAAAAATGTGAATACTGAGCTACAACCGGAAACCTCGCGGAAAAATGGAGACCTATATAAGACAAAAACTCTTGGTAAAAAGCTTGTGGATATTTTAATATAGAATCCAATTTTAATAATATAGAATCTCTTACACAAGCTAGTAGATGGAATCACAAGCTCAAAGAAAAATGTTTCTTAAACGCAAGTATATAATACATTCATAGGAGGCATGGATCAAAACTACTGGTTTGTTTAAAAATATGCCACTAAAATCGGAGCTAAGAAGTGATATTGGCCAATATTCACACGATTGATTGATATGGCTTCTCTAAAAACGAGCCAATAAATCGAATATTACTTAGAATTAGATTTTTGTCGATCTGTCGATCCATCTAGAGTGATGGGCGGACCCGGTAAAAAATGAACAGCGGTCCGGTAAAAAAGTGAACAGCGGTCCGGTAAAAGGTGAACAGCGGTCCGGTAAAAGGTGAACAGCGGTCCGGTAAAAGGTGAACAGCGGTCCGGTAAAAATGTAAACAGCGGGCCCTGGTAAAAAATGACCAGTGGTCGCCGGTAAAAAATGTCCAGCGGGCGCCGGTAAAATGTGATCAGCAAGCGCGTTTACACGAGCGACCGAGGTAAAAAGTAACCAATGTGCTTGGTAAAAAGTGATCAGTGGGCCCGGTAAAAAGTGAAGAGAGGGCTCCGTAAAAAGTGAAGAGCGGACCCTGGTAAAAAGTGAATAAGAGCAAAAAAAAACGTAAAATTACTGATAATTATTATGTATAAATAAAATTGTGAAACTTGAAAAAATCTTTCTTTCTGCAGTAGTATAACTATCATGATTTTAAAAGAAAAAAACTGACAAAAAATTGAGGAATTTCACTCTACTAATACGAAAAAAAAAACAAATAAAATCTGAACAAAACTATCTGTAAAATCCTAACAGAAACACATCTCATTATCCAGTGAGTTTTTTATTTCCATTTAAAATTCTTAAAGGATTGCCATCAAGTTAAGTGCATGCATTAATTTACGACCAAAAGATGTCCCTCTTGAAAGCAATATCGAGATAACTAAGTATGCAACAGTTTCAAACTTATAGATACAAAGTTCTCAGAAATGAAAGCCTTATTATAGGGCTTCCAGTGGCGACATTACGACAACCGAATTGGAGTATATTTTTAATTTTTAAGGGTCATATTATTCATTTCCTGCCGTGGCGTCGAATATTAATCAAATTTTGTTCGTTTTTTAGCAAATCACTATTATAAAATGTAATAAAAAGTCTCTGATTCGGTTTCTTTACGGATTCTAGTTCAAAAATGTCCCCTTGTGTGCCGGGTGAAATTTTTGGACTAAATTTTTTTTTTAGAAATTACAAAATATTTTTTTAAAGCAAATTCCAAAAATTACCTTTTTTGATCCGGAAAATACAACACGAAAATTGCCAACTTTAGGGAAAATAACAGGAGCTCGATCTTCGTTATTTAAAATGATACAAAAACCCAAAAAAAAAAATTTGCGGAGCAAAAAAAGGTGATTTGTTTTAAAAAAATTGTTTAAACACTTTCTGCCCAAAAATTTCGCCCGGCACCCTTCAGATTTGTTTAAAGGAGACATCTTTGAATAAAAATCCGCAAAGAAACCGAATAAGAAATATTTTTTTACGCGAGCGGTCTCACAACATATATTCAATATCATTTATAGACTATAAATGATCTAATATTCAAAATTAAAAAGACCTGCAAAAAATATTAAAAAAGATTATAATAAAATCAAGGATATTTTAAAATCACCCTCAAAATTACGCATGATAACGAATTTTATATTAAAATTTGTTCAAATAAGTAGATATACTTTATACAAATGTACATACAAAATGGAGAAATATATTAAAAATACGCTGAAAACAAAAAAACTTAATGCATAAGATTTTGAAACTATTGTTTCCTAAAAATTAGTCATATTAAAATAAACCTGTAAACATGTTGTTTATTTACTAAATATGTTGTAGAATGGACGAGATCTTTCGATCAGCTGGCAGACATATACCTGAAACGGCCGTTCGAAGTTTCCACAGAAATCGGTCGAGTGATGACCCGGCCTAGAATTATTATCAGATGGATTCTCCTGAACTCTCGAATAGCTGTATTTTCATAACGGAGCTTTTATTGAAAAAGTCAGTGAAGAAAAGAAACTCGAGGAACGTGGTTTAAAATGTACGAACGTGATAAACGATTGTAAAGTAATTTAATAAATTGATAATAAATTATCGTGAGTTTTAATAAATTAGAATAAAGACAATAAATTAGAACTATAATAAA